CCTACTCGGCGAGTCTACTCTCGGACTCGTCGAGTAGATCATTAAACTCACGTGGCCTCACCCGCTTCTACTCGGCGAGTTATGGCACCAACTCGTCGAGTAGATCAAAGAACCTCAAAAATAAAAAATTAAAATAATATACCTGGGAATTCGGATGTTACAAATTACCGACACGAACTCCACCACCTATAGTATCATTAAACCATATTCATAAATCTCCAATTTCCAAAATGCCCCTAGAAGTCTACTGGTCAACCCTTGGTCAAAGTCCAAGTCAACGGTCAAGGTCAAAAATCCATGTTGACCTCAATTCGTCGGGTACCCTTAGATACTCACCGAGTTCCTAACATAACTAGTCAACTCGCCGAGTCATTAGAGTGACTCGTTGAGTTCCTACGGTTTGCGGCCGTAACCTCTTTGGCCAGCTCGACGAGTTCCTCTTACAACTCGCCAAGTCCATACGTGTCCAAAGATTAGGAAACCCTAGCCGACTCGCCGATTCACTCATCTGACTCGCCGAGCCCACGACAATCTTCATCGGACTCGCCGAGTCTTTCATGCGACTCTCTGAGTCTCTTCAGTCCTTTATCCATACATAGTCCTTTTTAAGCCATGCAAGGGCTCCAAATTGTAGATCCAGCTTCCCAAGGCATGTTTATCACGTAAAGTTGCAAACTTTACGTGCATGCAAGCTCTAAAGTCTTAAAATGACAACATCAAGCTTGTAAAGAAGTCTCACACTTGAGGGAAGGCTCATACTTGACAAAGCTGATAACTTTATGGATCTAGAGGCCAAAGAGAGTCCAGATCTGAAGTTATAACTTCAGATCTTGGCTTAAACACAAGAAACCTTTCCTAACCCCCACCCCAAAAGAGATTAAAGAAGAAATGAGCCAAGGAAACAACCTAATACCTTCAAAAGAGTGTTAACTGAAGTAGACCTTTGCTTCCCCACGAGTTCCTTGCTTCAATTTACTTGTTTTTCCCAAGAGTTTCCTCACCAAGATCCCTCTTCCAAGCTTAACACACCAAGGAAACACACACACACACGATTTAGGGTTTAAGGATGTCAAGAAGCTGTAAAGGGGAGACTGGGGGAGGCCAATGATCCTTTAAATAGGGTGCAATACCCCGAAATTTAGGGTTTCATCTGCCAGCTCCTACTCGTCGAGTCCCTTTTTGGACTCGACGAGTAGGTCACTAAAACACGCGGACCAACCCGCTGCTACTCGACGAGTAGGGCAACCAACTCGTCGAGTAGACCTTAAAATCAAGAAAATTCTTATATAAAATCGATACCTGAGAATCGGGGCGTTACATAACATGTACCATATAATCACACAAATTTTAGCAAAAGGGTATTTGGACAATTAACTACATTTATAAAAGGAAATTTTCCGATTTTTAGGGATAATTAATTCTCATGATTTTAAAAATCTGAATTTTTTTAATTAATTCAATTTTAATTCTAACGTAATTTGTAAACATAACCGATTTTATTCTGTCAGATTTTTTTTGTTAGAATGATGTTCTTTGAGGATTTTATTCTATTAGAATATTATTGAAAAATAACAAAATTCTTGAATCCGAGGTTGAAAAATAACAACATTCTAATATATTCTTATACATCCGTACTTAAATACAAATTCATACATATTATTACACACTAAAAGCCTTATAAATTTTAATATAATTATACATATTCTAAAAGAATATCAATAAAAACGAATAAAATTCTTAAAAAATAACAATGTTCTTAAATTGTGAGTATGATCAAACTTTATTCATTCTTCAAGTTATTCCTATTAGGTCTTCAACGCATTTTTCCGGCCATTCCTATCACAAATACAACAAAAACTAATAATGGTTAAAAATATGTTACTTGCAATTAACTATCACTTTATATATTCTGACAGAATACATATATTTTATTCTGGCAGAATACATTCCGACGTAATACATAGAATACATTCAAAAGTATCGTATTTACTCCTAATATATTTTTAGATTCCAAATATACAATAACGAGGGACAACATAAATTGGAATTCAAAATCACAAATTGAATCAAAATAATACACAAACAAATTAATTACCTTTTTAAACAATTACATAAAACATGTGTTGCTAGTAATTGTGACAGAATGCATACCACAAGGTTAAATTCTTTAGATTCTCTTTCAGACATTTCAACAAACACTTGTTAGACATTATCATCAAACAAGTCAAAATTCATCTAAAACAATTAATGAAGTTAGAATAATAATGTCGGTATTATGTGTATCAACAAAGACCATGATCCTTATAAATAGATAAAGAAATCATAAAAAAAATATTAAAAACCAATATGCGTGCAAACAGAAACATTTTAAAGAAGAAAATACATAACATACATTTTTAATCCTATTAATAATGAATAAATTAGAAAAAAAGTAGCAATTACAAAAATCCAATTATGAAAGAGATTAGCAAAAATTTCAACTATTTGATCGTCTAGCATTTGTAGCATTTTTAAAGATAGTGGAGATAAACAATTTTAAAATATTTTTTAAACTCACTTGCGCATGTTCATAAACAAATCGTAATATATAATATAATTTATTTATTTCAAGAAAAGGACTAATTTGTATTACCTAAAGCACACGAGAGAAATTGATTATTGTGAAATTGAGTACCGCCAATCACAATAACAAGAACAGAGGATGTGGCTTTAAAAAAAATTGAAATTTATAGATAGAGATATTCCATAAGAGATTAATTTTGATAAAACAAGAATTTTTGAAAAATTACCTGTAACTAAAGAATGTTCTTTTGGGTTCTAACGCATAACCAAAAATTGAAGGTCTTTGGATCGAGCAACAAATTGGAGGCCTTTGAATCAGCAGTAGCAGAGATGATTTGGAAGGCGGCCAATGGTGGAGATAGATCAAGAATAATCGATTATTGTGTGAGGAAGAGAGGTCCGCGTCAAGAATCGGTTGTTGTGTAAGGGAGAAAGGACGATTTCCTTTGAAGCGTCGATGTCTAGGGTTTTAATAAGTAAAAAAAACTGATCTCCCCAAAAAAGGGATATCAATGGTTAAATTTGGATATTAATTAATAGATATATGCAATATTACTAAGACTAAACTGCATAAATGGTCCCTGTGGTTAACTCAAAATTGACACTTTGGTCCAAAAAAGTTTGGACTAGCACCAGAGGTCCAAACTTTTCATTTTGTTGCAAGTTTGGTCCAATTTGCTTTGAACTATTTTATAATGACGATTTTGCCCCTTATTATTTTATTTTATATTTTTCTTTTATTACAACCATTTAAAAACAATTAAAAAAACAAAAATAAAATACCCCTAACCTCTCTCTCATGTTCTTCATTTCTTCTTCAAAACACTCATTTACCTCAAATCTGCCATGTCCGATGACCCACAAAATCCGCCATCATCGAGACCAACGAGATTTATTTGTTTTCCGACGACATCTACACTCAGAAAATTGCCACTTCTCGACTATGCTGACGATACGACAAACATGGAGACAGACAGATCTGGCAAGATATCTAGGATTTGTAGAGGCGGCGGTGCCGACGAAGGCTCGGGTTCGTACGACATAATGGTTTGAGCAGCGTCGTAGGGGTTCGGTTTCCGCCGTTTAGGGTTTCAAAAGCTTCGTATGGCAGCTCTAACATGAAGATCATTTTCACCCCACACCCGTTTTTTTTTTTTTGGATTTGAACATATATGGTGAGATATTTGACGTTGTTTAGGGTTTCATCCGCCCGTCCCTCTCCTTCTCCGGCGAGGTGCCGTCATTTTTAAAAACCCTAGCACCGTCACCCTTCTAGTTTTTCAAAACCCCAGTTTTTCAGATTTGTTGCCACATTAGTTTTTGCTTCGATCCACAGACATGAGATCTGGAAACCCTTGATTTTTGCTTCGAACAACAGATAGCTTAAAGATAATGTTGCTCCAGCGAGTGTTGTGTATTGAATCAGGTTTATGTGTTTGGTCTTGTATACCAAATTTCTAGTTTTGTATATCATATCTTCTTGAACATATTTATATGCTTGATATCATCCGTGTTTAATCATTTCTAGGTTTTTAATGTGTTCTTGTATGTTAGATTTCTGATTTTCGTGTGTTTGTTCATCTAGAGAGAGAGAGAGAGAGAGAGAGAGAGAGAGAGAGAGAGAGAGAGTTGTATATGTGTGTGGTGTTTAAGGTTACAAAGGAAGCATCAGTGTCGACGGTGGTGGTGGCCGGTGTTGGTGGCGACGGTGATGTTGACCGGTAGTGGTGGTCTTTTGCATTGTAAGAGAGAGAGGGTACTATAGGGGTAATATTTACTTTTTTATTTTCTTTTAATCATAAAAATATTTAAATAAAAAAACTGAAAAAGAAAAAAAGTAAGGGCAAAATCGTCATTATAAAAATGTTCAAAGCAAATTGGACCAAACTTGCAACAAAATGAAAAATTTGGACCTCTGGTGCAAGTCCAAACTTTTTTGGACCAAAGTGGCAATTTTGAGCTAACCACAGGGACCATTTGTGCAGTTTTATCTATTACTAATTTACCTTTATTAATTTAATTAATGATTAAATTATTGCTAAATTCTCATTGTTTCATAGATGCATACAATAGTTGTAGGAAACATTTGAACCTACCTCTCTCTCTCTCTATATATATATATATATATATATATATATATATAATCATTTTATAATTTTGATTACCTTTCTTTTCCATTAAAGGGTAGAATAGTCTATTTACTAATTATTCCTTGGAGGTATTAAAGGGTGTTTGACTTAGCTTTTTAGAGGCTAAAAGTCTTTTTTGGAAAAGTTGCAAAAAGTCAAGATTTCCTGACTTTTTCAAAAAGTTCATTTTCTTTATATCCAAAATCCAAAAGTAACTTTTAAAAATGCTTTTGTCAAAGATATTTTATTTTTTCTAACTTTTGCCTGTTAAAAGCTAACAAAAACTTCATTTTCCAAAATGCCTTTTAAAATGCTTTCCCAAACATCTGCCTTTTATTAACACATTCCTTGGAAGTATCAGTACCCTTCACAAAAAGATGTCCTCCGGTTGCGCATAAGGCGGTGGCAGGGAAATCCTATTGACGGTTTGGGTAGGAACGTGTCCGTGGCAGTTCATGGCGGCGATAAAATGGCAATTGGATTCTGATTTTGGTTATTAAGCTACCAATATCGGGATTTGATGGGAATTTGGAGTAGGTTGATTACAAGTGTCTGCACATGTGGAGGAGGTAACAATTCCTTCTATATATATATATATATATATATATATATATATATATATATATATATATATATAATAACTCAGAATACCGTCGGATCACTTTTGTTGGAGTTGCACAATGAACCGTTTATTCCAAATCACTATATCATGCTATTCTGTATGAGTCAATCTGCAGCGATCATGAAAGTTACCCTTATATATGGCTATTTGTTTTTTCTTTTGTATAGGATCTAGGGATTAGACGTTTATAAAGAAAAAAAAAACTGTGCAATTATTAAACCACCACAATAATTTTCACTTGTTGGTGAATTAGTGATGAGGATCCTTGGCCATCATCTTATATAATACCATTTTGCTATATCTCATGCCATTCAGGGAATCATCACGAGGAACTTGGACCAATGTCTTGTATGGGTGTACGATTGCGGATTCAAGATCACCATGTAACTTCATCCGCTTTTATCATCTTTTTTTCTTTTTTTTCTTTTTTTTTTGTTATTCAGCCTAATGGTCCTTTCAGGTGGTGATTGATAATGGCATACTGCAAGTGACATTATCGAAACCAGAAGGCCTTGTGACTGGGGTTCGATACAATGGCCTTGACAACATCCTTGAGGTTCTTAATCACGAAGGTAACAGAGGGTAAGTTGCAATCTAAAGTCTAAACCAAGGTTTTACATTTCAACTTGTAGCTTTAGGCTATCAATGGTATACAAATTTATTTATGAAATAAAATAAATAAATAATGCAGGTATTGGGACGTTGTGTGGAGTGCTCTAGATGACTCAGGAAGAAAAGGAGTATTTGAAGTGTACATTGATATTCTGAAAATTTTCCTTATAAATATTTGGATAGAAAAGTGAAAGAAGTTGTACGTTTCCCATAGTGAATGCATTTTGTTGCAGGATCAAAGGAACAAGCTTTAAGGTTATAGTGGAAACAGAGGAACAAGTAGAGGTGTCTTTTTCAAGACCTTGGGATCCTTCCCTTCGGGGAAAAGTTGCTCCTATAAACATAGACAAGAGGTTATCGTTTTTGTCTTTTATGATGGTTCTAGTCAATGAGGGAAAGCGATTGTAATTTTTTTTTTTTAGGTTTGTTATGCTTCGTGGTTCCTCTGGTTTCTATTCGTATGCCATTTATGAACACTTGGGTTCTGAAGAATGGCAAGCTTTCAGTCTTGGAGAAACTCGAATTGCATTCAAACTTAGAAAAGACAAGTAAGTAAACTACATATTGTATTTTCAATCAACTCATGCACAGTTGTCCCGACTTTTTTGTCCAATTGACATCAGTCCCCCAGTCCCAGTCCCAGTCCCAGTCTAATGAATGAAAAATGTAGTACAAGATCACCTGTTGTATCTTGTCCTGCAAAACAAACAAACAAACAAACAAGATGTTGAATTATGAGTTTTAGGGTTTGGGTAGGTTTCACTACATGGCAGTAGCAGATGATAGAAGAAGATACATGCCCTTGCCAGAGGACCGACTACCAGGAAGAGCCCAGCCCCTTGCCTACCAGGAAGCTGTTTCACTCGTCAACCCAATCGTGCCTGCCTTCAAAGGAGAGGTTTTTTTTTTTTTTTTTTTTTGTTTTTTTTTTTTTGTTTTGTTTTTTGTTTTTCAAGTTCAAAAATCAAAATGTTTCACTCGTCAACCCAATCGTGCCTGCCTTCAAAGGAGAGGTTTTTTTTTTTTTTTTTTTTTGTTTTTTTTTTTTGTTTTTCAAGTTCAAAAATCAAAATATTAATGGTGTGCTTGTGTAGGTGGATGACAAGTATCAGTACACATGTGAAAACAGGAACCTAATGGTACATGGCTGGATATCCAATGACCCTCCAGTAGGGTTTTGGCAAATTACACCCAGCAATGAGTTCCGCACTGGTGGTCCTCTCAAGCAGAATCTCTGTTCCCATGTGGGCCCCACTTGCCTAGCTGTAAGTCTGTAACTACCTACCTTCAATTACAGCATTAATACACATTTCTTTTTTTCTTATTACGGCACAAGTCTAACAATTATAGCATTAATATTTCTTAGTAGGAGATTATACTTTTAAAAACTGCTTTGTATTTGAATAAAATTGTAGATATTTTCAAAGTACAATTCTGTAATAGGAAGAAATGAACATCGGATGTTATTAACTACTAACAACCAAATTACATTCCAATTCATGGCCAGGTTTTTGTTGGTGCTCATTATGCTGGGGATGATCTAGTCCCAAAATTTGGACAAGGTGAGCCATGGAAAAAGGTGTTTGGGCCAGTTTTCATGTATCTAAATTCAGCAATGTGTGGCCAAGATCCTCTTACACTTTGGGATGATGCAAAAAGACAGGTATGTATGTATGTATGTATGTTTCTTTGTGTGTCAGTATGAAATAACGTTAAATGATTTTCTTGAAATGAAATAATACCAGATGACGGTTGAAGTGGAGAGTTGGCCGTATAGCTTTCCAGCATCCAGGGATTTCCCAAAATCACATGACCGAGGAAATGTTAGAGGCAGATTACTTGTTCGAGACAGGTAACTGATGACCTATTTATATTTTAATTTTTTGTTTTTCTATTTTGATTTCAAATATAACATATTTATTTCCATAAAGATACATTCACAAGGATGACATACCAGCAAATGGTGCCTACGTTGGGTTAGCTCCACCTGGAGATGTTGGATCATGGCAAAGAGAATGCAAGGTGAACCCCCCCCCCCCCCCCCCCCCCCCCCCCCCACACACACACACACACACCTTTTTTTTTTTTTTTTTTTTTTAACGCTGTGTTTTGGGGCTAATTTTGATGATAAGGACGAGGGCGTTAATGTCTTTGTGTTTCACATAGATAAGAGATTGAGAGTGAGACACCTTTTTGGATGAGATAAGAGATTACAATTTTTGTCCTATTGACATTAATTCCTGTTCGACTTAATAAAATTCATATTAATTTGAGGTTAAAAGTTAGTTTGGCTGACCTTGTAAGTCAAAGTTTTCCCTATCTTTTGAAGTAAGATGATTAAGGTAATGTTTGGTATGATGGAATCAGGGAATGAAGGGTTTATGATATCACATTGGAATTAAAAAAGTTATTAATTCCTTCCATTTTGTTAATTTTTATTCTCAACCAGTTGGTGTGGTGTTTTATTTATTTATTTATTTTTTATTTTTTACATTTGTTCCTGGAATGAAATGGAACGAAACATTAGAAAGAATCCATTTTTATTTATGTAATTTTATAATGACACAACGTTTTTAGAATTTCACAATTTTCGATAAAGTAAAATTTTATTTTCTAAAATAACTAAAAGATATATATTTTTTTTATGATAATATTATTTTGGGTTTTAATGAGTTGTTATTATATTCAATCTTTAATTTTTGACGATAATAAAATTAAACAGTGGAGGAAAATTATACATTGTATTACATAAATGTAAAAAGTTGGTATGGGAATGCATTCCATTCCATGTACAAGTACAAGCAACCTAAGATGATAATGGAATGGAATGATTCATTTCAATTGATCTCATTCCATCTAGCCAAAGTAACAAACCAAAAGGGTGTGTTTGGTTTGAGGAATATTATGGATGGATTTCAGCATTCTTACGGGTGGAAGGAATTGAATTTCATTCTTTGAGAGATTACATTCCTTCCAAAAATAATGCACAATAATTTAATTACAATGGAACATATATTATATGCAGGAGTACCAGTTCTGGAGTGAAGCAGATGGCAGGGGTGATTTCTGCATTAAGAATATAAGAGGTGGAGAATATAATTTGTATGGTTGGGTGCCTGGATTTGTTGGAGATTACCGATATCATGTTCCCATAACCATCACCCCAGGTAATTAAGGTTACAATCAAAATTAAAAAAAAAAAAAAAATCAAATCATTCATTGATGCAACCCTTGATCTTCAACCCTTAATCTTCTTAATCTGATTGTAGGATGTGATATTGACGTGGGGGATCTTGTTTATGAGCCTCCTAGAGACGGTCCTACGTTATGGGAAATCGGGATCCCAGACCGGTCTGCTGCAGAGTTCCATGTCCCAGACCCTAACCCTAAATACGTCAACCCACTTTTTCTCAATAATCCCAACAGGTTTAGGTTTAGGTTTTTTAGGTTTTTCTTTTCTTATGTTATACTGTAAATAAAGAAATGCATTTTCATCATCGTCTATTTTGCTTTCTATCAGCAACTTTAGGCAGTATGGCTTATGGGAAAGGTATGCAGAGTTATACCCTCATCAAGACTTGGTATTCACCATTGGTGAGAGCGATTATCGCAAACACTGGTTCTATGCTCAAGTTCCAAGGTATAATAATTAATATTTCAGAGTTATACCCTCATCAAAGACCAGACAAATGTTGCATTGAATTATTTTATATTGTGACAAATTTGCATAACAGGAGAAAACAAGACAATTCATATGAAGGAACCACATGGCAAATAAAGTTCAAACTCCAGAATCTCCAGCGTGCTATATATAAGTTACGCATGGCACTCGCTGGGGCATCTCTTGCAGAAGTACAGGTATAGTTTTATTTTTATTTTTATAGAAAAATCAACCCAGTTATAGCAATGAAAATTGGTTTGTATTTTGATAACATTTGTATAATTGGGTAGTAGATTTTTCCAAGTAGTATGTTTTCTTTTTTTGCATTTAACCCTTTTTTTATTTACAACTTTGGTTGTCTTACTAACTAAAAAAATGACATATTTTGTTATTTTGTAGGTTCGGGTAAATGATCCAAACAAGCCTCGTCCAGTGTTTACAACAGGACTGATAGGAAGGGATAATGCAGTTGCCAGACTAGGGATTCATGGGCTATATTGGCTATACAACATAGACATTTCAGACTCGCTACTTGTTGAAGGAGAAAACACTATCTATCTGAAACAACCCAGGAACCAAAGCCCCTTTCAAGGAATTATGTATGATTACATACGTCTAGAAGGCCCACCTTGCTAATTAATCAATCTCCTTCTTCAGTGGAGATTGGAGGGTTTTTATTTAAATAAATCGGCCAAATATTGTTTTGGAAATCACATCGTTGAAAACTAATTAATGAATATCTTTCGTCGTTCGTTATGCTAGACCACTATTTCTATTGTAAGTATATTATCGAGCCATCTCCGTTGCTTTTTCTAATTGGTTTGCACTTTGCAGAGTCACATCATGACACTTTTTTTTTTAAATTGCCGCTTTAATATTTTGCAGTCAAGCCTATTCTTATTATAGCATTATTTTATTTATGGATTAGTATTAATTTATAATTTCATAGATGTGTTTATATAAATTTTTTTACATTTTAACCTCATTTTCGGTAATGTTACCCTCTCTTTTTAACCACAAAAAAAAAAAAAACAAAAAAACGTGGAATTCATATTTGAGATTTTAGTAGTTAAAAAACTTTTTTTTCTTGAAAAAACTAATTTTTAATGATTTTTTTTAAAAATTTTTTGGAAATAAATTGATTTTTTTAGTGGTTTTTACCGAAGAAAAAAAGTTATGCTTCAAATGAGAGAATACCATATGTTAATATTCTCTGCTCTTAGTTTGATGTATAAACCATTTATTAGGGCTGTTTGATATTTGCTGATTGAATCAGATCTGATTTAGTCTGATTCTGAATGAAACTTAGTTGTTTGATTTTTCAGCTGACTATGTTGAATAATAAAAATGACCATATTTAGTCTGATTCTGAATGAAACTTAGTTGTTTGATTTTGCATTTGGCCGACTGTGTTGAATAATAAAAATGATAATATTACCCTTTTGTTCTATCTTGTGTTGGATAAATGTATCTGCATGATAAAAGCAACGATAAAAAATTATCTAGACAATAATCATTATAAGAACACGTTTTAAAATAACAACATATTTAGGGGGTGTTTGGCTTAGCTTTTTAGGGGACAAAAGTCTTTTTTGGAAAAGTTACAAAAAGTCAGGTTTTCCTGACTTTTCCAAAAAGTTCATTTTTACTTGTATCCAAATCTAAAAGTAGCTTTTAAAATGTATTTGCCAAACATCTTTTACCTTCTATCTTTTCCTAAAAAGACTTTTGGCCTTTAAAAAGCTAGGCGAAACACCCCCTTAATTACAATATACTCAGTTTATGCATCATTGTATGAACACGTTTCAAAATAAAATGTTTACATACAATATACTAATAGTTTAACTATCATTATATGAACCCGTTTCAAAATGGTGTAACACTAAAAATGAACACCAAATGTTCATTAAAAAAAATATATTACATATTTTCTACCTCAATACTAGAGAATAATAAACTTGAGCACAGCCCCACGAAGCTTTTCCATGTATTCTATTGCTTCTTTCTGCATCATCAAAAAAGGCATCCATATAAGCAAATAAATGAGTTTTAATTAATTGAAAGAGCTAATAACCTACTCCTTCAAGGAGAGCCTTTTGTAGTGCTTCCAATTCAATCTCTCTTATATTCCATATCCTACAATGACCATTTTTACTCGCATCATCATAAGCTTTTATTAATCTATTATACATTTATTTTAATTATAAAGTAGAAATCAATCATACCTCAGTTTTTGACACAACAAACAGAAGCTTACCTAGTTCAAACTTTAATTTAAGTACATAATGTAAATCAGTCTTCCTATATCTAACACCAAATTCATATTTCTTTAATTTTTTTAATCAAGAAGAAAACAAATAAAATTCGAATGATGAAAACAGATAAAATTTGAATGTTGAAAACAAATAGAATTCATGTTTCTTCGTTTTATCTTGTATAATTTTTGATTGCATTGCCATGTTTCCCATCAACATCAGGTCAAATATCACGATACCGCTTTCTTCTTCGATTCCATCTATAAATGCAATGTTGATAAAAAAATAGCAAATCGGTGTGAACCAACCTTATCATCGTTTTTAAGAAATTAGGGATTAAAGATCATCAGAATTGGAGAAGTTGTCGACGTCTAGAGCGAAGAAGGAGAAAAGGGCAATTGAGGGTATGTTTCTACTCAACTATATTTTTTTAATGACCGAGTCAGACGTTTTTCAATGACTGAATCAGAGCAAGGACTGAAGAAGCTTTTAAGTGTTGTTATCAAACATTATGACGAGACCGGGTCAGCCAAAAGTCTGATATGACCGGACCGGGTAAACAAAAAATCAAACATGACCTTAGTCTTTATTTACAAAAATATGTGTGCAATTTTTCTTATATCACAACTTACCCAACTTAGGATTTAAGATCATCTTTTACAATCCAAATATGTAGTCATAATTTCAACATAAAAAACTTGAAAACACATTATCTAACACTCTATTCTTCCTTATTCATCAAAATATCTAACACATATGATCACACAAAAATTATGGTTCATGAGATCCCTTTCAATCCAATCATCAAATGATGAAATTAGCAACAGATATAGGAACTTATCCTTAGTCCAAAAGTGTGATGATCGAACCCTCTGTTCCTCCTTTGATTTCTCTTGATTTTTCAAAGTTTTGGAGTTGAAGACCTTATTTATTCACTCTCTTCTGTTCTATGAGGTGTGTGGTATAAGATCAAATAACCGACTCCCTCAATTTTACTCTATTTTATGATGTCGGTTCCAACACGCCACATTAATATATATATATATATATATATATATATATATATATATATATATATATATATATGATTAAATGTGAATCACAAGTATTGTGTGAATATATGACTAAATTCTAGCCATTACATTAAAAAATAAAATAAAAGGATGTGATATGAGGATACATGTTATTAACATGGACTAACGTTCATTATATAGTTATACTAAATTAATTATAAGGGAAAATATGATAATTTATTAAGAAAGAGAAATAAAAGTAACTACATTCTGGGTACTGGTTCCTCAAATTTTTGTAAATTAAACGAGTTATAAGAAAAATAAACAATTTAAACGTACTGGTTCCTCAAAATTTTAAATCATCGGTCATTAGAAACATTCTTAAAGAATATTAGATATTGATTTTTGATAATGATTAAGAATCGATTTTTATAGTTAAATAAACATTTTTTTAGAATGATTAAGAATCAATTTTTTAGTTAAATAAACATTTTTGAGAACGATAAATTATCAATTTTGTTAGTTAAAGTTAGATGCTTATTGACGAGAATGGTTAAGAATGTCATTCTCTTAAAACATTCTTGAAGAATCAGAATTCATTCTTTAAGAATAAAAGTTAATTCTTTAAGAATGGATTAATTGATAAATGTATTTGAACCACTAAACCAATATTTTCAAGAGAAAAAGAAGTAAATATGTAACTAGACATGTATGTTTTAATACTGGAAGAATAATGCATTGTGTGTAAAATACAACAAAATTAAACAAAAAAAAACCAATATATTGTGATGCATTATGAAAGAATAATATTGAAGAAGATATTCTTGAAAAATAATTTAACATTCTTTACTGAAAAAAAAGACATTCTTATAGAACTTGGAAAATATAAAATATGTCAAATTTTCTTTTAACATTATTGACTAAAAAAAAAAATACATCACCACCATTCATTTCTTTTGATGCAGACATCGTCATCATCTTCCTAACATCACCCACCATCATCCCGATTTGAACCAACCACCAATCATATTTATTTCTAGAATCAATTTGCAATTTCAATTCAGAAGAAAGGAGTTATGATCGATTATAAGATAAGGGGCTGTGATCGAGACATAACAGAACACAACAAGGTAAAAATAAGTATCAATCTATTGAAACGTATGTATTTAACAAATATAACAAGAAAAAGCATGTAAGCCGAATAGTAAAGCTTAGGCGAGTCCTGTACTAATGCTTGCTCAACTGATGAAACCCAATAGAACCCAAGGATCCACCATACAATTGAAAACATTATATTTACAATTTCCTCCAAAAATTAACTTCAATGCTGGAACTAAGCCCTAAATCGAGAAGACAAAGGTTAAAAAAGAAACCAAAAAGCAAAAAAAATTTAGATAGAAATCGAGATTCATCATAAAAAATGAGAAATCTAGATTCAACCACAGTCATCATAATGAAATCGAGACATCAAGAAAGAAAGGAGATATATATTACCATATGAAATCCCAATTGATCAAATCAACATCCTAAATTATTAAAAAGAGGTGGGATAATTATCAAGAAATATATTACCCGAAGCAAGCTTTGATCAAAAACAGGTCGTAACCCTAAAAAAACACACATTTAGGGTTGTTTCAATACCAAAATCAGACCACTAATATTCAGGGGGAGGTGATTGCACAGGGTCGACGGATGCTCTAATCATTAGGGATGGAGCAGGAGCTGGAGTAGGGGGGTCGATCGACACACACATCTTTGATTTTTCCTTCTGGTTCTTCCTAGGATTGTGGTGAATATGGTGAAAGAGTGATTTAATGGAAAGAAAATAACTAATCCCCTGTTTAAGGGATATATCCTATGTAAAATTCTGAAATTACCCTTGAATGTTGATTGATCAGTCACACATTCACACAATAATCAGAGATTATGTATGAACCTAACTCACACACACACACACACACACACTCTCTCTCTCTCTCTCTATATATATATATATATATATATATATATATATATATATATGGGAAATTAAGTAAACTAACCACAATTTGAGTTGTATTTAACAAAACTAACCAATTTTTTTTAAAAACTAACCACTTGGTCCGAAATGGGTCATTCCGGACCAGAAAACGAGCCCAAACCCAATATTGTAGCCCACTTCTATATATATATGGGTCTCACACACAAAAGTCCAGAATACGCATTCCAGATTCTAAAATTACGAAGTTCGTTTTCCCCGCATTTTGGACCTACTTTCGAGCATGGATTCGTCAAACCAAGTGAGTTCTCTCTTTAAGTTACTTGTATTTGAGTTTTCATACAATTATACATATTCCAGAATGCGTTGAACATTCCGGAATACGAAGAACGAGTCCGAAATGTCCATTTTTTGTATGTTTTTTTTTTGTGTTGTACATATAAAACGTGAGTTTAAGTAGCTTAGAGTGTGTTTAGGATCGTTTTTTTTGTCCGGTACTTTGTTTTCTAGAGAATATGGAATGGTCCTGTAGGTCTGTTGGGACACATATTTGTATAGA